GGGGGGGGTTTACTTATGTTGGGCTGACTAAGTTCTTGTTTGAACCAAGAAGATGCCCGCCCCGCTTCACGTTAGTTATCACATTTGTGTCTGAGCCTGAACCTGCTGCCTATCCATGACTCCAACCACTCAAGGGCAATTAGGTATTTTCGCATGTTCCAATCCCGTCGCAATCGCAGCCTAATACAGCTTGTTGAAGTCTGGATACCAGCTCTTCCGGCTGTGTTGAATTCTGCTGTAAATGATAGTTATCCTCCTATCTAACCATCGCGCGAAGTACCACACCCACAGTCCTCCCCTCAGCTCCCCGCCAATTTAAACAGCAGACAAAGAAGTAAACAATATGCTCTTCCAGGACCTTCCACTGGAGATTCGGTTTCTTATCCTGGGCCATGCAATCAATCCGTATTTCATGGTGTGGAGATCCGGGAGAACACCCCAGCATGTAGTTTGGAAACACAGAGTCTCTGCCAGTCTTTTGGTTTGCAGTAAGCCATCTATATTTATATCTATATCTATTTTATTTTCCAGCCCGTTTGTTACGTTATACACATGTTCAGCTATCAATCATGCTCTCGGAAACTTATCTGTTGAATTCTAGAGGACTGGAATGCAATTGTCCGAGATCGCCTCAAAACCGTACCTCCTGAGCACGTCATCAGTCGGCTCCCCGAAGCACTGGCTTTCCCAGTCGTAAAACATAACATAAATAGGATTTCCAAGTTGGACGAAGATGAATCCATGACGGAATCTGACGGCGATCGTGATGGTGATGTTAATAAGGAAGATCTCATCACCCAGAAGCTAGGATATAGCCTCATCTGTTCCATTGATCGCGGATTTAGATCCTGCGTGGGTCTTCTCCTAGAAGCTGGCGTTAGTGTCAACTTCAATGACTGGGGAGCCATGTGGCCGCCTCTTCTGATCGCGTTTTACGTAGACAACATGGAGATAGCCAAGCTTCTCCTGAGCCATGGCGCCGATTTGTATATGAACGATGAGGATGATATGACCTACGTAGGATACTCGGTTCTCTGCGGTGCAGCGAGGAACAGCCTTCTGTCTTTGGCAACGAGGTTGTTGGACAGAGGTGTGCCAGCGCGGTTGGACGGTCTAGACAAGAATCCCCTTACCGGAGCCCTTTCTAACAACGATGTGTAAATTGCCATTCTTCTCCTCGACCGGGGCGCCAGTTTCCTCAACGAAACAAAACCCAAAATATTACCGCTATCCGTAGCTGTCCGCGTCTGTTCTGTGGGTACGATTTCCATGCTCATCGCGACAGAGGTGCGGATATAAACGCTTGCGACTCACAAGAAGCAACCCCTCTAACTTCTGCCATCGCACCCAATGAAACTGTCGCCAAGTTCTTAATCGAGCATGGAGCGGTGATTAAAGCGGACCATATCCGGGAAGCTGTTAAACAATGCTCGCTCCCATTCCTGCAAACACTGGTCGATAGGGCTGGAGCAGATTGGGCTGCCAAAGTTGCTCTGGAGGAAGCTGTACTGTGTAACAAGGTCGAGTTCGTCCAGTGCTTTCAGCACAGGGCGTTAAGCTAAAGTGAAATATCCTCGAACCCGTATCAGAGGGTCCCCGTATACATCGACAAGCTAGCGCCCAAATCTACCTGTGGTGATTCAAGCTCACTGTCACAGTTTCGTAGCTTTCTACATGGCTGCGCCAAGGTGCGCACCAGCCCTTATCCCCCTTCCATTCAATGACTGGCGTTACTAGCTCCCACGTCCGGCCTCTGGCAATAAATAGCTGCCAAGGTATCTCGGCTTATTGGTCTTCAATCCCCCCGCTTTTCGGCGCTTTGGTAGAATACGTTGATTAAAGTCGCCGACTACCGGCAACCACTCCTTTTGGAGAATGAAGGTATGTGACGGCAAGACAGGCAGCTTGTGTTTTATCGTTTTTATTTTTATTTTTATTTTTATTTTTATTTATTTATTTATTTATTTTTTGTAAGAGGGATGAGGTTTCCGAGGGAAGGAGGTTGATCGCAAGATGATATAGCTGTTTTGTTTTCCACTCTTCTGTTTGGTGAATAGATGGAAATAACATAACATGCAGGATCCATGAAAAATGATTTAAATGATGTTTCCTGGCGCAAAAACAACCTTGAGAACACCACAGATCCAATTGCCGAGCAACCAAAATAAATAAATAAATAAAATAAAATTAAATTAAATTAAATTAAATTAAATAAATAAAAAAAAAAAAAAAAAAAAAAAGAGCCATCAATTTCGGCATAAATATCCCGAAACAAACCAAAGCAAGACATTTCATAATTGGAATGTTGAAACGTCGAATGCGTCCCCAGCCCAAAAATTAATCATGGAATCAAAGTTACTCTGAAATTCACACCCGAGTCCACCGTTTCCTGTAACCAGTGTCTCTTCCTGTGTTCCTTCTTTTGTAGTTGGTTGGTTTGGATATGGTCCTCTGTGGGTGCTCGTGTGTAGAGCTTCGAGTTGTTGAAAGGCCTGCATGCTCATAGCCAAAGCACAGTAATGCTCTGGAGGCGGGATAAGGACGGAGGTTGCTTTGGTAATTAGATCAGAAGAAGACTCCCTACACGTGTCTAGCGAGTGTTTACCTCCCGTTTGTCGAGTCTGTTTTTTAGTCAATTGGCTATCGCTCTTTTGGATAGCTTCCTCTAGATCCTTCTCTTTGCTGCACGTAGCAGCGTTGTCGTCTCGCAATTGTTGAATTACCGGTCTTCCTTTATTGGGTTCTTGAGTTGATGATAGAGGCCACTCTCGTGGTGGCGATTCTCGTGTTGGCAATCTGACTACCTGTGGTGGGTATTCTGGAGGCCGGGAAGCGACACAGTTTCGGACGGGTTTTCGGCGGGATATTGTACCGTAGCGTTTTTTCCGCTTCGAGCCTGAGGGAAGCAAATGCATTGTCGAGTCACTGTGTGACGAGTCAGATTCACCATAAGGTTCAAGGATTCCGTTTTGGCTGACGGATTGAAGATAACTGAACATCTTATCCACTACTCGGGGCGGCATCACGCTGAACCATCGAGCTAATTCATCGTCGCATGGGGGTAGATCTGACATTGGCCGTGCATTATCCGCAATTTCCGAGTTTTCTTCTGTCGCATTTTGCTGAGATGAATTCGGAGAAGACAATAAGAAAATGTTCGTATCCGGAGTTCTTTGAAATCCCTTGTCCCAGTCGCCATGGCTAGTTTCAGGTACACTTCCCGGCGAAGAGTTTCCACTGTCAGGAGAAGCTCTGCCCATACGCACAACTGCTGCGGATATCACAGCGCCAATGAAACGCCTTTGCAGTAAGCGCTCTTAATTAGCACCCATTCATTCCATTGTTTTTACGAAAGACAGAGTTAAAAACGTACTGCCTCTTGGTTGTTCGTGTTGGTCTTTTGCGTTCTGGGACTATACATTTGACATCATCAAGTTTGCAGTTGTAGCACGGAACGCCGTGGTCGCTGACGCTACATCTCACTTTCCGTGACCTACATGACTGGCATGCTTTGGCCGATCTTTTTCGATTTACTTTTCCATCAGGGCCATCGAATTCTGCGGCTTCAGCGCTGCGCTTCGGTGAAGGTTCCTGCAAGGTGGAACTTGACTCTGGAGAGTGGTGCCTCAGCTTTTCATCCGTCGAAAAGGAAAGGTGATGATTTTGCCAGTCGTCGTCCATGACGTCAGTTGGGTGTCGTTAGCTGTAGCTCTGTCCCGACAGTAACTAACTGTATAGGGTCCCCAAAAAAAAGGGAGAAATTAATAGAGCAAATGATAAAATAGTTCGCCAACTGACAGGAACGGGGGGATTGAACAAATCTAATAAGAGGGAAAGTCAAGAGTTACCCTCTCAGAAGAGCTTTTGATGCCCTCCAGCTGAAACTCAAGGACCATATGAAAACTGGGACCCTCCTGGCCGAACCACTTAGCAGGGGAGGAGACGATTGGTCATTGTGTTGCCAATTCCCCAATGGTCAGCCGAAATTGCTGATGAGACTCCGGTCCTTGCTCCATAAGTCTATACCTACTAACTATTAAACAAGTTAATGATCATCTGATGTGGGGAAGTTTGGGGAGAGTCCTGAGCTTTCTCGCGCTGGGAAACATCCCCAACCACCGAGTTAGTTAGCGGAGCAACAGCTAGTTAGTTAGTTAACTACCCAAAGACAGTGTAAAAAAGACGACTGCCAGTTCCTTTCTTTTATTTAGCTACATTTATATGTGAATTAGAGCATTGTTTCCCCTAGAATTAGATTTGATTCAGTTGTTCCTGGATATCAGATGGTTTCCGGGGTAGATACAGCAGTGTGTGTGTTGGGGGAGGGGGGGGGGGTTTGAGGGAGGGTTGGTCAACGTAACTATGTAGTTAGTGACTTCCCGACCAGCCGGGGGGTAACTAACTAACCCCCCCCCCCGAGTCCCCGATAGTGAGCGGGCTGCGGCATCGAACCCAGGAGGCGCTCGGAACAAGGCCGACCCGTCGCTCGAGAATGATGCCCGGAAACGCGGTTTGCGCTCCACGGAAGTCCTCCGATCAGAAATTAATTGTTGTAGCAATGTATAACTTTAATGGTGTAAAACGCAAGGGAAATAAATCTATAAATAATACAATTTAAACAGGATAAAAGGAATAATTTCGGAGAGCAAATGTAAATATATGTTATGTATATAATAAAAATAGTAAATTACTTTTGTACTCTAGTTAAATTCTTCTGATTTAATAATTAGACTTTAATAACCAGGAAACTATAGTTGCTTCAGTCTCAGATATGAAATTAAAAACTCTTTTCCTGATTCAATCAAGAAAGTATATTTAAATTATATTAAATAGTTACATATATTTTTCAAAGTGCTCCTGTTTTTACTTTTATTCTGACAGTATTTTCATAAAACACGCCTCTAAAACTTTTAGATGTAATATGAAATAAGTATATCCGTCGAAATCATGTCCTAGTTTCAACTATATTAAAATGATAGATAGCTCCTTTCGCCGGCAAATGTGAACTCATGGTCATGTTGAATCAGAAAGAATCGTCTTTGACGAAATCCACTGCATGGGGGGCAAGTGGATGACGGTGTCGTTGGGGAACAACTGCTTCTCACAAACAGAGATACTAAAAAGGGCGGGATGTGTAAGAATGAGGCAATCTATGTGAACCAAGTGTAAAAGTGACGTAGAGCATAAAACGGCAGTTTCGTGGTAAACGAATGGGAATATACGCAATAGGGGAGAATGTTTCTTACTTTAAGAAAGGCAAATGATTTCACCTTAATGGCTTCACTGATTCCCATCCCATTCGCTCCGAGTGGTCTCGATGGCGCGTTTGGTTCTGGCCTCTATGCATCCAGTGGCATGTATTGTGGATCTATCAAGGAGGGGTGCCGGATAACCTCATTCTCGAAGAGCGAAGACTTTTGGCTCCTGTGGAGTTCCATGATCAAACATCAAACAACCAAAATTTCCTGTTGACAACTCGTTCGATCTCTCAGTTGCTCTGTCGAGAACCATTCGCACAGCTGACGTTGTCAACGGGGGGGCAAAGCTGAGGGAATTTTTATTTATTTATTTATTTATTTTTTTTTTTTTAAAAAAAGAAAACTCTGGATAGAAGATCCCAGAGCTCGGATATTCGGTTCACCGTGCATGCCAAACCAAAGTTCAGATATCTTCTCATAAATATTGAGAATCAATTTCTCATCACATGAGATCTTCAATAATTACAAATGCACAAACCTCTTTCTCTCGTTTGTTCACTACACAGGTAAGGAGCTCTGGAGGAGCTCCTCTTCAATCACGACTGAAATGCCTGCGAAGAGACCTGTGACAACTTTACAAACCCAGTTAGAAAACGCGGAGGAAAAGTGGAAAATTGTGAAACCCAGCTTGGAAGCTCTCCAAGGACGAGCAGGCCAAAAAAGACCGCTCTGAATGATGCGAAGAAAGGCAAAAAGGGCAAAGACCATATGTCTCGAGAAGACGGCATGTGGGACACAGCAACCGCGGAGTTCAGCATCTATGAAATCCCTTTGATCCCACAGTTCCAGTGGATGGATTCCAATTTGCGGGGCGTCGTCAGAATTTGGGGAGAATGTTGTAGAGCTGAGGAGGCGTTTTATCTCAGAGCGCCTGATTTACAACCTGGCCTTGGTGTTGTTCACCACGCTGGTATAAACCGGAAATATTTTCTATGGTGCAAAGGAGGTACTTGACAGCTGGGAAGATGAAGGTGTTGAGGAAAAGTAACGATTGCAATAACGACAATGCTTCCCAGGCAGGTAGTTTGACAGAGGATAAAGACGCTATGGCTGCAGTGGATGGAAAAATGCCGGGATAGTTAATGTGTTGAAAAGATTCAAACTGCTTGCAGGAAGAGTCCAACCAGAAGTTCAGGGAGATGTGGAATTAATTAACATTTTAGTTGGCAGAATCAATCTCTCTGCAAAACTGTTGTGGGGAACCGTGTTTTTCGCAAGGTAAATCAAAGCAACGAAAACCTTGTATGATGACCACAGGGGAGCATGTCAAACTTGAAATTTCGATTGAGGATAGAATGATACAT